TCTAATACTCTTTAACAACTGCCTGGCATGTTTTGTTGCAGCATGTAACTGTATGTAACTCATAAGACTAAAACCTGATTTAAGTTTGCGATGATTGTGCCTGTTATTCATAACGCCCATACATTGTCTGATTTTCAGCTTATAGTAAATCATTTTTCGTTTTATCAACATTAATGGTACTATTGGTTAACCTATTGGCTCTATTGGCTATATTTGAAATAGGGACTTTTCCTTTGCATTTCTTTTGTTTATTGGAAACAGGGTTTTGCTCTGTTACCCAGGCAGGAGTCCAGTGATTTTAACAGGCTCATTGCAGTCTTGACCTCCTGGGCTCAAGCATTCCTCCAGCTCAGTCCCCCACCCCCACCCCCAAGTAGCTGGGACCACAGATGCACTCCCTCACACCTGACAATTTTTTTTTTTTTTTTTTTTTTACCTTTTAAAAAGATGAGGTCTCTCTGTGTTGCCCAGGCTGGTCTCAAACCCATGGGCTCAAGCTGTCCTCCCACCGTGGTCTCCTAAAGTGCTGAGATGACAGGCATGAGCCACCATGCCTGGCCAGTTTTATTTCTTGAATATACATGTGAAATATGATTAGCCAGCAATTTACAGTGTAGCTGTAACACACGTTACTTATAGGAATTGAAGTTTTACACTTGAACTATTTAAGAAAATACACATAAGATTTCCTAAAATTTTTATGTTTCATTTTTCTGCTTTTCTTCAATATATCTCTGAGACAAATTTCCAATATAAGAAAAAGTGATTGCTGTATTGGTGAAGGTGCATGAGTAGAGGAGAGATGGGGAGCAGCGAGGCATTACTACCTCAATTGCTCATTTCATTTGTTGTTGAGAAATGACTAACATACGTTTGAAAAAGTAACAAGGACAGTTTCAAAGGTACTTACATTATGTTATTTCTCATGAGAGTAATACTGTTTCTTGGAAGTTATTGAAATAGTTTGCATTTTTACAAATATGTGGCAAAATCAGGTATTGCGGGATATTCCTGTTTGCAGTGGCTTTCTTGTCTGTCAACATAAGATTTAGATTGCCATGGATATTGTTAGTCTTGTCTGATTTCATATATACTGAATCAGTGTTTACAAAATTTCTATTTGTGGAGATTTAAAAATATTTCTCAGTATAATTTAGTCTTCTTTGCAGAGAACTGTTGAAAAGTTTGCAGGAATATATCTTCCATTCCCATTGCCCTTAAGAACCTCTGTACTTGAATGCATGATCTCTCTGTGGCACTTTTGTTTTAAGTTAATTGTCTTAGTCCATTTGGGCTGCTATAACAAAATATCTTAAACTGCGTTGTTGTTGTTGTTGTTGTTGTTGTTGTTTTTTGCTATAGTTTTGTTCTTGTTGCCCAGGCTGGAGTTCAGTGGCACAATCTCGGCTCGCTGCAGCCTCCACCTTCTGGATTCAAGTGATTCTCCTGCCTGAGCCTCCTGAGTAGCTGGGATTACAGGCGCCCACCACCATACCCGGCTAATTTTCTGTGTTTTTAGTAGACATGGGGTTTCACCATATTGGACAATGTGGTCTTGAACTCTTGACCTCAGGTGATTCACCTGCCATGGCCTCCCAAAGTGCCAGGTTTATAGGTGTGAGCCACCACGTTCTGCCTAGACTGGATAATTTATAAACAACAGAAAATTATTTCTCACAGTTCTAGAGGTTGGGAAGTCAGAGATCAGGCCATCAGCAGATTCAGTGTCTGGTGAGGGCTGCTCTTTGTTTTAGAGTTGGTACTCTGAGGTACTTTGCTGTACTTCACAAAGTACAGCTGCGCCCCCACATGGCACAAGGGGAAGAGGGCTTACAAGCTTCCTGGGGCCTTTTTTATAAAGGGCATTGATCCCATTCATGAGGGCTCTGTCCTCAGGACCTAATTACCTCTCAGAGGCCTCACTTCTTAATAGTGCCATGATGAGGAATCAGTGTCAGCATGAATTTTGGAGAGGTGCAAACATTCAGATGATAGAAGTAACTAACTCCCCAAATTGAGTATTTTGTGTACTCCTGATTGACTTACTCGGGTACTTAATTGCTATTTGCTAGAACACTAAATTTTTAAGAATAAAAATATTACATTGTTAAAGGCGCTCTATAATAAATATTAAGCAGAAAATGTTCATCAGACTTTTGGCTGGGGGTATGTTGGATCTTTGTCTTTTAAAATAAGATTCTCATTGAATGAGAAACACTTTGCTGAGTGTTTTCTTGGTTACCATTTTACAGAGTTTAGCTACACTAATAGCACTGGGGCTTTCTCCCCACTAAGCAAATACTTCATCATAAAAGATTGTTGAAGGTTATACCTTTGTAATACTTGCTCAGATTTGGGAAGGAGTAGAAAAGAGGAGAGATACAGAAAAATAACAGGATATTTTTCCAATAGTGAGGTTAGAAGAGAATTTCTGTTTTTTAGTATGTAACCAAGACTTTTTTTTCAGGTAATTTTTAATTTTTTAGTTCTAATCATTATGGATACATAAGGGATACATAAGAGTTATAATTATTTATGAGGTACATGTGATCTTTTGGCATAAGCATGCAATATGTAATGATCAAATGAGGATATTCACCACCTCAAGCATCTATCATTTATTTGTGTTAGGAATATTCCAGGTAATTTCATTATAGCAAAGCCACCTCACAGTTCATACACTAATTAGGGTATGAATGAGAGCTCCAACTTCTTCAAAAGATTTCTTTGACTTTGTTGTTTTCAGTTCAAACTATGGGAGGTACATTTTGACCTTTTTTTTAAGTTGTGGGTACAGTCCTGCTCTCTTCCTTTTCTACTGCACCAGCTCCAGTTCTCTTTACGTAAGCTTGCTGTATTCAGTCTCCCTCTCACCAGTCATTCTGATTTTGCTTTGTAACCAAGTTACATACCCAGCACTGCTTTCCATTAGCCGTCAGAAAAAGCCTTTCATCAACATTACTTCCTTTGCTAAAAAGTATTAAAAGCTCCTTCATGGCCTGAAGATAGAAAACCCTGAGTGAGGGGTGGCTATTTTAAATTATCACTACAGTTCCCTATTTATTTCTTTTCTTCTCTCATCTCTCCAGCCTTATTATCTTTAAGCAGTTAATTACTTGATTATGCATAATATTGTTCTTGGTTTCAACTTGTATGAGAAAGTATGGCTTTTTCAATTGAACGATGTATTAGTTCGTTTTCACTCTGCTATAAAGAAATATCCAAGACTGGATAATTTATAAAGGAAAAAGGTTTGACTCACAGTTCCGTATGGCTTGGGGAGGCCTCAGGAAACTTGGCAGAAGGGGAAGCAGACACCTTTATAAGGCAGCAGGAAAGAGAGGTGAGAGTGCAGGAAAAACTACCACTTTTAAAACCATCAGATCTCATGAGAATTCACTCAGTATCACAAGAACAGCATGAGGAAAACCGCCCCCATGACCAATCACCTCCCTCCTTCAACACATAGGGATTACAGGTCCCTACCCTGACAGGTGGGGATTACAATTTGAGGTGAGATTTGGATGGGGACACTGAGACAAAATGTATGAAAGGATATCAATCATATTTTTAAAAACAATCCCTTAAGAGTTCAATTAGTGAAGTAAATTGAGTCATATTCAATGCATATTATCAGGATTTTTAAAAATTTTTCTACAGTTTATTTTCATACTTGTCACAAACACTTAACATATTTTTGGAGTACTGTCTTTTTTTTTTTTTTTTTGGAGTACTATTTTAAAATATTATGTATTCAATGATAAAGCCTCCATCATCACGAAGGTAATTTAGGAAATGAAACAATTTTAAAAGTGATTAAAACAATGAGATTCTTAGCAATAAATTATGGCACAGTGCTTCTGACAGTTTTTGTGAGATGAAATGGCTGCATCTGCTGTTTTGGAAATTGTGAAACCTATCGAAAAGTTGAAATAATGAAACTACTAAAATCATACACCCTCTACCTAGATTCACCATTAGTTAATATTTTCCTATTTTTGCTCTGTCTTCACACACACACACACACACACACACACACACACACACACACACACAGAGAAACATACGCATACCCTCTCTTTCCCTCTCTCTCTTTCTCTCTTTGGACTATTGAAAGGTTAAGTTTGGGGGCTGGGAGTGATGGCTTATGCCTATAATTTTGGGAGGCCGAGATGGGTGGATTGCCTGAGCTTTTAGGGGTTCAAGACCAGCATGGGCAACATGGTAAAACCCCATCTCTACTAAAAATAAGAAAAATCAGCCAGACATGGTGGTGCACACTTGTAGTCCCACCTACGTGGGAGGCTGAGACATGAGAATCACTTGAACCTGGAAAGTAGAGGTTGCAGGGGCCTGAGACCGCAACACTGCACTCCAGCCTGGCTGACTGAATCTCAAAAAAAAAAAAAATGATGATTAAGTTTTGGTTATCATGGCACTTCTTTCCTAAACACTTGAACATGGATTTCTTAAAAATAAGGATTGTCCTTATTATACCTAAGAAATTTGACATTAACTCAATAATATTATCAGTTGTCCATTCTGTATTTCCCCTATTCATCCCAAAACTGTTTTATAGCTGAATTTTTAAAAAAATTCCTTCTTAATCCAGTAGTCAGCCAGGGTTTATGTTTATATTTGCCTTGTTAGTCTCTTTTAGAGATACTGAGAAAAAATGCTTTTGTTGGTATCTTTTTGTGTTATGTTGCTTTGCTTTTTTTGCTTTTTAATGCCTTTAACTTTTTGAAGGGTCCACCCAGTTAGCTTTAGAATGTCCCACCCAACTTTGGATTTGTCTGCTGGTTTCTCAGACTTAGATTTACCTGAATTTATCCTGTTAAACATTTTTCACAGTGATGCCACATTTTTGATGTTGGGTAATTCTAATAACACCAAAGCAAAAGGCACCTAATGCCAACATAAAGTTTATGAAATACAAATTTGTAATTGGCAGCAACAAAGACTTAGTTGCTTGAATTATTTTTTCATTTTTCAAATAGACAACGACTGAAAGACCTTTCATTCAGAAGCTGTTTCGTCCTGTGGCTGCAGATGGACAGTTGCACACACTGGGAGATCTCCTCAAAGAAGTTTGTCCTTCTGCTGTTGCTCCTGAAGGTAATATAATCAGCAACATTAAAACATGTCTTTCATTTTCTGAAGTAAAATAAGCATTCCACATTTATAAATAACAGGTTATTTCAGGAAGATATTTTCATATCTTATAGCAAAAAATCTTTTCAAACAGAAGCATTTAATATTTAATATATTATTTTGTAAATTGTTGACTAACAAAATGAGGACTTGACTCTGGCAAAATAAAATGCAGTTTTTAAATCACACTCTTAGCACTTCCCTGGTACTCTGGTCTTTAACTTATGGATTCGGTTCTGATAAGTACTACTTTTAATCTTGCATTTTGTTTATTAATTTTAAAGAAGTCAGAGATGGTAAAAAATAATTTTCCTATTTTTGATATTTGAAAGTTGATAATACTGAATAATGGTTGAGTATTTTATTTGAATTTTCTACTACTCTCTACTTGGTTCTTTATTACTTAACCTTGTTCTTTTAAGCTTTGACAATCTATAGGTCCATTCAAAACTTGACCTGTTTCATGACCCTAATATGTAACTTAGGTTAAGATTGTTTTCCTACAGGCAAGGGAAAAAAATATTTAAATTGCTGAATTCTGTTTTCTTTTTTTTTTTTTTTTTTTTTGAGATGGTGTCTCACTCTGTCACCCAGGCTGGAGTGCAGTGGCACTATCTCAGCTCACTGAAAACTCCACCTCCTGGGTTTAAGCAATTTGCCTGCCTCAGCCTCCCAAGTAGCTGGGACTACAGGTGCGTGCCACCATGCCCAGCTAATTTTTTGTATTTTTAGTAGAGATGGGGTTTCACCATGTTAGCCAGGATGCTCTCAATCTCCTGACCTTATGATTCAACTTCCTTGGCCTCCCAAAGTGCCGGGATTACAGGTGTGAGCCACTGCACCCAGACTTGTTTTTCTTTATTGCAACATAAAGAACACTAAGAAAATGCAGAAAACAATAGAATAGTGCCCATAATCCATTCTCTCTCTCACACACACACACACACACACACACACACACACACACACACACAATGGCACTTGAATATTTGAGATATACATTTATGTATATACAGTTGGTTCTTCATATCACGTGGGCTCTGCATCGTTCCAACAGCAGATCAAAAATACTTGGGAAAGAAAATGGTTGATTATATCTGTACTGAAGATAAACAGACTTTTTTTCTCGTTATTATTCCCTAAACAATGCAGTATAACAACTATTTATATAGATTTACATTGTATTAAGTATTATAAATAATCTAGAGATTAGTGACTTAAAGTGTACAGGGGGATGTGCACAGGTTCTATGCAAATATTATGCCATTCAATGTAAGGGAATTTTGAGCATCATTGGATTTTGATATCCTCGGGGATTCTTGAACCAATACTTCATGGATACCAAGTGATCACATTGTGTGTGTGTGTGTGTGTGTGTGTGTGTGTGTGTGTGTGTGTGTGT